GGGGTTTCACTACCTGGGTCATTTCAGTGCTTGTGCCCAGCTTAAAACAAGGAGGGCTTAGTGGTGATTGTCACCCTTATGTCCCTCATTTGAGATCTGGGGTTTCTCTTTAAGGACCTTCTTTACAGGAAAGCTTCTGTACAGCTCTGTCATTGTGGAAATGTTAAACTTGTCCTGCTACCCCAATATGGGATAGAACTGGGTGGGTAGTTTTGCTGTGGAGAGCTGCTTTTGTATTTCCTCATCTCCCTCCTGAAGGGGAACAGATTAATCTCTTTGGGTCTTTATTATTATTAGAGCTGTATGATTATTCTGTAAATTTCCATTGCAGTTTAACTTGCCTTTGACTGCAGAAAGAATATTTTACATCCCTAGGGTGTTCTAGAATAAATTTAAGCCTGAATGGTAAAATCAAGATTAAGATTCAGTGAAACAATAATGTAGTGGTCAACTGCCATGGATAATAGGAAAGAAAAGCTCAGTAGAATAGTAACCTATCTTTTTCCCTGTAGGCACCCTGGTTTTGGGACACACGACAGTGCTGGTACAACTACCCTTTTCAGGTAGGAGAGAAACACTTAGTAGATCCCAAATTGCTGCACAATTACAGGGGCGTTTTCTTTAATGATTGAATTGAAACTCCACTGAAAGCAGATTGAAACTCCGTAGGTTTGAGTGCTGCTCCTATTCTGTGGGCTGGAAGCTGCAACCTCCAAAGCCAGCTTTCTAGTAAGTGAATGACCATCCCATTTGAAAGGTGCAGAGATGGCATTCACTTGTTATGTCTTCAGATCCTGGTTAGCTTTGTCAGCAGCAGTGTTTCCTCAGCTACAAATGACTCTGTTCATATTCGTGTTACGTTTACTTGCTGCTGAGATGATTAAAAGTAGAAGCAAAAAAGGCATTAAAATTACACTGGTAACCTATTTACAGTGTTGTTTTCATAATGCACCAAATATGATTGTATAGAGGTCACCACGTCTGTTTCAGTGCCCTGTTTTCCTAATCCAGGAAGCTGGAGTATGAGTTGTAAATATTGACAAGGGAATCTCAGTCCTTTTGACTAAAGCTCAAACACACAAGTCTGTTGTTGTGACTAAGCCTAGAGTAAGTCTGTTGCTTAAGCTTGTTTTCACTAAACCTTAATTCTGGATCTTTTAAATTATGCCTCAGCATTCTGGAGGAACAGAGTGGGATGGGAAGGAAAAAGTCAATTGTAATGTAAATTTTGAAGTACTTTATCTTCTAACTGTGCTATCTTTGTCTTCCAGCCTCTAACATCCAGGCTTTATTATTACTATATCTTGGAGCTGGCCTTCTATTGGTCTCTCATGTTTTCTCAGTTTACAGACATTAAAAGGAAGGTGAGATTAAGCAGAATTGCACTAACCTCTTTGCTAAGTAGATAGGACTAACAAAAAAGTAAAGTTAAAGCATAGTAATAGCTGTGTTTTCTTCTTTATTTACATCTTTGTGTAGCCTACCTCCTTCTTTAATTGCTACCCAGGCCTGGGAAAAAGGGAGGAGCAAGCCTGCTGTGCAACCTGGTATATCCTTGAGAGTCCCTTTCACCTTCCAGGGGAAAGAACAGAATCACTCAGTAGTTCCCAATAAAGATTTACCAAATCATTGCATAAAGATAGATTTAATTAGAAGGCTGGCAAGAAAACATGAAAATGAGATGCTCAAACCTTGCTGAGCTGGGTAAGAGAATGGCAGACATTACAGCAATAATAAATCTGTGTAGGAGAATGGTGACTGGTTGTGATTGCTGGAATCGAATTGGCTGCGAAGCCAAAAATAAGGGCTATGTGTTGTCCTGAATCTGCAGGCATATTTATACTTGTGCCTGTACATGCAGAGTTCTGACTTCACAGGAGCACAAATGCTGGAAGAGACCTTTCTGGAACCTTCGGAGATGATGATTAATGTTGTGTGATGAGCTGTGCTTTATATAAAGTGGAGTGAGTCTGACCTAAAGTAATCCTCTGACCCCAGTTAGTTTTGTGGCTCTGTTCCAAACATTTGTATTTGTTTGTCAGTCCAAGAGTCTTCACTCATTTTTTTTTTTTATTGCTTCCAGGACTTCCTGATCATGTTTGTCCATCATTTGGCCACAATTGGACTTATTACATTCTCTTATATGAATAATATGGTGCGGGTTGGAACTCTGGTGTTGTGTCTCCACGATGCATCAGATTTCCTTTTAGAGGTGAGTTGCTTTTCAGCTCTTCGCATACCTGATGCTAGTGTGCTCTCAGGGGAGCAAGCTGACTTTGCCATTCTTGATAAGCTGCATTAAATATGGCATAAAACTTGTGTTGCTGATCCTGCCTTGTCAGCTTTTCCTCCTAACTGCTTTAGTGCTGAGCATAATCCCTAAATATTCCAAACCCCTGACAAATGGGATAGCTTGAAGGATTTTGAAGCTCTACAGCCTGGTAATTACATGACTTGCACAAAGGGAATAATATTCTCCTGTTCCTTGTGTTTTTTAGGCTGCAAAGCTAGCCAATTATGCCAAGTACCAACGTCTGTGTGATGCTTTCTTCATGCTCTTTGGTGTCGTATTCATTGTTACACGGTTGGGCATTTATCCTTTCTGGTAAGCACCTGGAGCTGTAAGGTTTTGTTTGTTCTTCCAATCCTTCAAGCAAAGCCTTTGTATTTAGACTTCTTGCAAGCATTCCACCTGTCCCTTAAGGCAGCCTGAAGTTGCAGGCAATACATGTACTGTTTGGAGCACTACGTTCAACTTGGGAGTGTGGAAAAACCTCTCAGCTGAGAGAGTGTGAAAAGCAACTGGAATCCTAATCATAGAATGATTTGGGTTGGAAAGGACCTGAAGATCATCTAGTTCCAACCCTCTTGCCACGGGCAGGGACACCTCACCCTAAACCGTGTCACCCAGGGCTCTGTCCAACCTGGCCTGCACAGCTGCCCCTCTCAGTGCAAAGTGATGACAGTGCTTAATAGCTGGAGCCAAGTCAGCCCGTGTCTCCTCTGGAAGTCTTGAGGGGTTGTTTGCTTCTCTTAAGAAGTTTTGGAAATAGTTACATGGTCTCTTGAAGTAAATTTGATTTTTGAGTATCTGCTTTAGTCATTGTAGCTGATTCTTATGACACTCGTGTCCTGTCCTTGTGTCATGACTGGGCAGAGCCTGAAATAGGTCTTAGGTTTCTTGGGAGGTAAAACCCTGGCTAAATGGCTTAGGGCAAATCATCCTGTACTGAGACTCCTGCTCACCACAACGGATCAGGCTTGGTGAGGTGGTTCTGCTGCTGAGCTCTTACTCATTTCTTGGTTCTGTTGAAAGAGTATGGTGAAAATTTGGTTACACCTGATTATTACTCAGTTTCTTTCAGGTTTATTGCATGTATTTCTTTGCTCGGCACTGGGCAGCTTGCATTCCCGTTCTTTTTGGGTGCCTTGGTGGTAGGCAGAAACAATACACTTTGGTGTTAGGGTTGCAATAAAAGCTCCTGCTTTTTTTCCAGTAAATGCACCAAAGGAGTTTGGATGAGGAGGAGCTTTAATTCTTCCACCTTCATAGGCTTTTTCCAGTGACAGATGAGATATTGCCATTGTTTTTATAGGTGTTGGCTGTCATGAGGTGATGCTTTTGCATCATCGTATTGCTCAGCAGTCCTGTAAATCTTTAATGTATTTTCCACTGGCTGTAATGTAATTCCTCAGCTTTGCAGAGAAACCCGTCAGGTTGCAGGAGTACTGCAGACCCTGTGCTATTCCACTTCAGGATATTCCCTTCCCTAATTAGTAGTATAAAACTTTAGCAGTTCTCTGGAGTTGTATTTAATTCTTCCATAAACTGGCTACGAGTTAGAAGTTTCTGTAGCAGCGTTTTGGGGACTTGTGTTCTTGTCTGCAAGGTTTGTTTTTCTTGTGAGATGTTAAAAGCAATGCGAAATTAATGACATCTTTAGAGGTTTCTCCATACCCCTTTACTTCATAAAATCTAAAGTGGTTATTAAATTACTTAAGTACTGGCAGTAACTCCCAGCGACAAGAAGAGCACAACAGTCATGAAAGAAAGCACAAAGCTGTGTCCATAAAGCAGTTTCTAGTTCTCCAGCTTGGCAGGAGGAACCTCTAAGTGTCTGAGGGAAGAGAATAGCACACAGGGAGGGAGGGAGGCCTACTGGGAACAAAATTCCTTCCTAATCTTTTAATATGGGTGAAGCCTGCCCAAGTATGAAGGTGTTAACAGTTGTTTTGATGACCACTGCAGCTTGACATCACTTCCTGTAAAGTAGTTATAAATGCTCATGCTTTGGAGAAGGAAATTGGCAGCAGATCTGGATGTGTGACCAGATTGCAGAACACTCACATCTCCCGTGTTTGTTGCTCAGTTCAAATGTTCCTAATTAGCCTCAGTCTGTCTCCTAACTCTGGCAAGAGACAAGCTGCATCACTGCACTGACAGGAGCAAAGTCAAAGCAACAGATGCTTAAATGAGCTACAAACTGGTGTGCATCTGGTCAGGCATCTTAATGTAGAGCCGTGTTCCCAGCACAGCCCATGTGTAATGTGTTTCTGGATCTCTCTTAGGATTTTGAATACAACCCTCTTTGAAAGCTGGGAGTTGATTGGTCCCTACCCTTCGTGGTGGCTCTTCAACGGGCTCTTGGTGACCTTGCAGATCCTGCACATCATCTGGTCCTATCTCATCGTTCGCACTGCCTACAAGGCCCTCGTGCGGGGAAAGGTAAGTTTGCTGGTCACTGGCTTGGGACCTCTGTCCTACAAGCCCTCTTCAAGCAATCATGAGGAACTGGACCCTTGGAGCTGGTTCTCAAGGCACTTGCATCAGGAATGCTTTGTAGAACAGGAGAGTTTTAACCTTGGGTGCTCTGCAGGCTTAAATTGCCAAGTGTATATACCAAGGCAGGGACGTGTTCCTCTCTCTTCTGGTTATGCAGAGAAACACCACCATTTTCCAGCATGTTCAGATGTTGTAGTGGTAGTGATGGTTTTAAGGTGGTAGTAGGCTCTGTCTTGAACAGCCATACAGGATGCTTTCCAACTTCAGCTGGTTTTTGGGATATAATGGGAGTTCTGCCTCTTCCACTTTGTAGCACTAAGGCAGGCTCTGGCTGTCAGGGCAGGCCAGGCATTGAGGTGCAGCAGGCAGAGGGTTACTAGAGAAAGGGTTACCAGAAATGCTGTGGCTTGCAGGCTGTCACTAGGCTGATGTGGTGCAGTCTGCCTTCAGGCCTGAGTATTCCCATTTTAATTTGTTTTGGAAGTTTAGGGAGAGGGAGGGTGAAACTACAGCAGCTGGTTCACATCTCACACTGCCCCAGGAGTGAACGAAAGGTGAGTTCAGCTGAAGTAGCATGAAATGGAGCAAGCCAGGCTGGGAACTAATTTCACACCCAGCCTAAACATCAAGAGAAGCCACTTCCTTTGCAGCTACCAGAGAGCAACAGCCAATCTCACAGCACAAATGCTTTTGCTTTTATTTTAATCAGATCCTTGGTATTTTGATCTGAGTTTCTCTGATGACTGTACTTGGTTTCACTTCTTAGCTGCCCCTACACATGGGATGTAAGCTTGAAAAATATATGGTAGTTGTCTGTGGCAGTATATACATAATCTTTGTATCTGCTCCCCATAGCTGCTACTGCAAATGTCTTTATTTTCTGCCTGTGCAGCAGTTTCTGTAGCCTGAGGTCTACATCTTTTTCCCTTCCTTGGTTCTCTCCTGTCCAGGTGACCTAGCCAGAGAAAGGACTCTAAGCTCTGTCTTCTTCATTCTTTCCTCCTTTTCTCTGTGCCAGATTGGAGCTGGACAGTTTCATCCTTTGCATGTAAGTGTGATCTGTGCTTCTGTTTGTTCACTGAAATGCACCTGTGGCTGTTTCAAGGCGAAGATGAAAGCAAAGATGTGGTCTTGGGGCTTTAGATGGCTGGTGCCTTCTCTTGAAGTGTTTCTCTCCCTGGCTGATACAGTGCTGGTTCTCACAGTTATGCTAAAATGCAGCTTTTTCCAAAGGTCAAAACGGTGTCCTGGGGTTTGTTCTTATCTGCCTTCAGCTGGTTGCATGACCTTCACCTTTCTGCTTGTCTACGCCCACAGAGACTCTGGTATCTGTCTTTAGTCTCATGAGCACTGCTGAGTGGAAGAGCACAGGAGAAATGCAAAGCTTTTTGCTAAAAGGAGTAAACCAGTCATTTGTCTCCCAAATAATGGGGAAAGTTTCAAGGGATTTCCAGTGACCCTCTGAACTTCCAGCATAGCAGTAGAATGGGGAAGGAGATCAGAAGTCCTGGCAAGAGGCAGAAGCCAGGACATCCGACAGGCCTGTCAGAACCAATCTTGGAGATCATTAACTTTACCTGGCTTTCCTCCATATCTTCCCTTGAGTTCAAAAACTTTCTGGCTGCTACTGTTCAAAAGCCCTAACCCTGACTCAGAGCACAGTAGAGTGAAAGCCTTGGAAAGGACTAGCTGCAAAGTGCTTCATATATTAAAGTAAATGAGGGCTATTAGCTGCAGAAGTGTGGAAAACCTGCCTTGGGGTATGCAAAGCACGGGCTGCTCACCACTCACTTCTCTGTTCTGGTGAGTTTATGGCTCTGGCTCCCTGCCACCAACCAAGGTGCTTGTTTGCAGTTAGGGCCGGGCTTATGATCTCTTCCTTCACCTTCTGGTGCTTAGCTCTGTGCTGGTACAGTGCCCTCCTGAGGCACCGGAGTGCCTGGGTCTGCTTCAGAAGGTTCAAAAACCCACATACAAAGGGTTTGAGGTCAGTCTTTTAACTTAAGGCATAACTCTGCAAAGCAGATCTAGATCTCGGGGCTGAGGTGCTCCTTCCATTCCCAAGCAGGTGTTTGCTGGAATGGATAGTTGTCTTTGGACAGTGGGCTACAGAACAGGCTTCTGCTTGTAAATGAGTTCTCACATGTGAACCACGAGCTGTGAAAACGGGAGGCACTTTGTACAAACAGTGATGTGATAAACACAGCTGGTTAATTTTTAAAATCTCAAAGCCACTCCCTCTAGGACAAAATGGTCTCTCTAAAGCTGCTGGAGAGATACACAGCCTTTGGGCATCACAGAACTGCTGAGTATGCTGTGAGAATGGTGATTCAAAACAAGCTTCGTGGTTGGGAAAGTGGCCTTTAGCCCATCTAGAATGCAAGACAAGAAGAGACAAATAGTGTCCCCTGATCTGGAAAGTGCTGTCACAGATGTAGAGTATTTGGAACATGGGACTCCTGTTTCCAAATTGTCACTTTCAATGTGTGTCTTGCATTCTGTATGTGATTCCCCCTTGTGAGTTTGAAGCGATCCAGGATCAAATGTAGAAGTCAGTGTAACTGAAACTGGGTCATCACATGGATGCAACCTTCTAACTACTGTTTCCTGTGAATTTTTCAACCTCCCTTCCCCCCATGCCACTGCCCAATTTCCCTTTGAAATGTTCAGGTATCTAAGGATGACCGCAGTGATGTGGAGAGCAGCTCTGAAGAGGAGGATGTGACTTCCAACAGCACAAAAGGAGTTCTCAGTACTTCGAGTAACGGCTCCAACCGCATTAATGGCCATGTGGCTGGTGGGCAGTGGACAGAAGAGGAGTAAGGCTGTGGGTTGGCCTTGAGCAAACACGAACTTATCTTTCAATATCTAGATGTGTTGAGCTCCACATTCCCAAGTGATCTTTAATCAAGATACCCCTTCCCCAGAAACCTCCAGCAAATCTGAAATGGGCACAATCCAGAGCAGTCAGAGGCTTTGCACAACCAAAGGGATAAAGCCAATGACTCGGGGCAAAAACAAAGCTGCAGATTTCACTTCGAGCCATTTTCTACTTAAATCTTAGACCCATTGATATTTGCAGAGGTGTCTTTGTGACAAACTGGTTTTTACTAGGATCAACTCAAGGTGGAACAAGTTTGGACTCGGCTGGCTGCTGACCACAGCAGGGTTCTCGTGCCGTTCCAGTGATGGTTTGCTCCGGCACAAGCTCTGCATTATCTCCCTGATGCACTCCAGAAGCTGCTTCAGAGCATGGAGAACACAGGGTCCTGTCGTTCCATGTCCAAGCTACCCTGGCTGTGGCAGAGACTTTCTCGGCCCTGCTGTGAGCACTCTGGACTCCAGCTAAGCTTTGAACTGGACCAGGCTACAACAAGAAACGTTCTAACTTGCCATCGGGGTGCTCTGTGTGAAGGTTGTCACTTAGCTCCCTGCTGTCATGAGGGACCAGGCCAGCGTTTGCTGCCTCCTTTGGTGCTGCAAGCCCCTCTGAAGTCTTGACTACAGCCTTCTGAGGTGGGGAGGGGGGTTGTCCATTGCCCCTGAGACAACTAGCACAGTACACGCCTTTCAAATTTGTGTCTTTTCTGCTGCAACTTGTGGTTTTGAAGACTTTTCTAGCCACAGTTGGCTAAGCTGGGACTCGAGGGTGAACCAGTACTGGTGGGCTGTTTATCTTTCCCCAAAGCAAGATGGTTTGGTCCTGCTTGTCTGTACTCTTGAGACAGAAGTGAATGTTGCTGCTCTGCTTTTGCAGCTGTGTGGAGGAAGCACTGGGCTGGGGAGGCAGCCGCACCATAGGCTTTGCTTTTTGGTCTTTTTTTTTACTTAATGGTACTTGGGGGCAATGGAAGACCTGTCAATCATGAGCAGAGTTTTGGAAACGTCTTGAGTTGTTACCATTTTATACCATTGTTTACTCTTATCTCCGATTAAAAGATGCTTCAGAAACGTGGTTGTTGATGCATTTTAGACATAAAATCATAGAATAGTTAGGGTTGGGAAGGACCTTAAGATCATCTAGTTCCAACCCCCCTGCCATGAGCAGGGACACCACACACTAAACTATGTCGCCCAAGGGTCTGTCCAGCCTGGCCTTGAACACCTCCATGGTTGGA